ACACACTAACACACTCACACACACGCAAGCACGCGAACACACACACACTTGTGCACACACCAACACATGTGCGCACGCATACACTAACACACAAACTAACACATGCACACACACTAACACACGCAAGCACGTGCATACACACGCGAGATCACACACATACACACGCATGCACACATACGCGCACACACACATGCACTAACCTGGTGGGTCAATGTTCTCCAGTGAGGAGTTGAATGAAGATCTTCTAATGCACTCTCATGCCTGACTTCCAGGCTAGGATAGCGAGCTGGGTCCTGCAGAGGAAAAGAACAGTGGGAATTTAAATCGACCAGAATGTTCTAGGGGAGAACCCTGGTGCAGCTCCCAGCAAACATCTCTACCCTGAAGTCTGGAGTTGATTAAGTATTCACCCTTTCAGAGCCCTGGAAATCTAAACGGCCTCCTGACCACAGGACGGGACCCTGCAGGTACATATTCTCCTTCATGATGGGACAGACCACACGAAATCAGAATATCAAGACTGCCACCGTCTCTGTTCTATTAGATTATTTTCCGGTCATCACTATTTTCTCAACTTTGTCTAGACAGACAGACTTGCTCTCCTAAGTGGCGGGAGGGGGGTACGTACCAATACAACAACAAAAAGAAGTCAAATAAAACAGAAAAGACAAAACTCAACATGCAGGAAAAGTCAGAACCAATGCCCTTTATAGCAAATGTCCCCAAAGCTGCTTGGTGACATCTGCAGGCACAGAGAAGGGCAGAGGGGGCACAGCTGCCATCTCCCCACAGAAGGGACCTCTGAGAACAGACAGAAGGTCAGGCGCTGCTTTATACAAGATGTTAAGTGATAAACTTCACGATTATTTTATAATTTAATAATGATTTCATTTTTATAGTTAAAAATTTTAATAGAAAATAAAGCCGACAGCAACTAGTATTTTCAAAGAGAGGAAGGTAAGTGGGGGCAGAAGCTGTCAACTATATCAGCAGATTCACCAAGAACTGTATTGTTTGTTGGTCATTGGGAGTGAGGGTCTACAGTTGCTTTATTTTCTCACTTGTGGAGACCTGGTAGAAATACGTCATTTAGAGACAATTTTGAGATTGTCATCGTGAACATCCGATACGGCCTATTGGTTCTTATTCATTCTCATCTATACCGAGAAGGCAGCCTTTCAAGACCTCCATGAGAGGACTTCCTGTCCTCTATAGATTTATTTATCTATTAGCTTTTAGGAATTCTTTGAGAGCTCTGTATAAAGTGTTTTGATCCAATTGGCCCCCTCTCCCAACTCTTCCCTTTGACTTAAAGTTATTGTGCTGATTTCTATACAAGGCAAGGAGTCACGGCTTCTCATCTAATTGGGTTAACTGTGGCAGGAGGCTAATGAGGACAATTAGGTCCAAGTTCCTTTCACCCAGAAAATGCTTTTCAGAGAACTTTTTCCAGGTGTGCTTTCTCTGGGCAACAACCACGTGGCCCTGGGCTAAGGGAAAGCAGGAAAGGAAAGCCTGCGGGTCACCAGCATCGCTAAGAACTGTCATTCTACCCAGCATCCTCCGAATGGCTGGGGACCACGCCGAGCCTCCTCCCTCTGCTGACTCACGTCCCAATACAGGGGTGGCTGCCATCCACGTATGAATGAGGGTGAACCCAGACAAGGAATCACACACAATAAGGTAAGCTTCAGCAAGTAGGAAGAAAATGCATTCACCTCATTAACGAGTTTTCTCAGCATTATGCAGACAGATGAGAAGTCCTAATAACTTGAGGTGTCAAGCAAACCCCTGTGCAGGTGTGTGCCCTCCTTGCAATCCCTCCTCAGACATACAGCCATCCTCGAGACCGCCCAGTGAAAGCCGCTGGGAGGATGTGATTCTAGTTTCTCTTCCTTTCCGGTCCACGGATCCATACAATGGCCCCACTTACCATCCTCTTCAGACTCTGGCACACCTCCAGGTAGAACTTGAAGAGAAAGCTGATAATGAGGGTCCTCTTGAACTCCACCTTCCCTCCGGGAGCAGAGCCTGGCAGGGTGACTTCATTCAGAACCAGCCTGCACGCTGTGTGGAACATCTCTTCATCCCAGGGCCTGTGAGAGGCACGGGAGGAGACTCAGTCTGCCAGGGCTCAGGATCTCACAGGTAGGGCTAACAGATAAGGCCCAGGGCTGCAGTCTTTATGGGAAGCAGGAGAGCAGGGTCTACAGCCAGGCAAGCTGAGTTTAGGACGCTCAGCTACTCTCCAAGCATCTGGCTGGGTCTCATCATATCCTCACCCAACAGAAGTCCTTAGCTCAGGAGCCACTCCCTGCCTCATCTACTCCTAGACATTTCTGTAAGCCAGCTCCTAGGGTAGCACTGTGTGTGTGCTCGCATATGTAACCTGCTCAGCCACTCGTGAGGTAGGTTTGGTTCTCTTTAACAGGACACAAAATGGAGGCTCCATGGTGTGAAATAGGCTGACTGAGTTAAGTTAAGGAGGAAAAGAGAATGAGGTATAAGATGCACCAGGCAGTCTGAGCCACCGAAGGCTTAAAACACACGTGCTGAATCACTGCTCTCTCTTAATTCATCTAGAAAGTTCTCAGGAAAGATTAGTTATTGTTACCTACAGATAAAACCGCTCAGGTAAGCAAAAGAGAAGGTTAGCAACCAGTTAGCACACGCTCTATTTTTAATCAGAATAAGATCTTCAGATTCCCCCTAGAAAAGAATATAAATTTATACGAGAAAAAAAAATGAGCATCTGACTCCCTTTCTGTCTCTTTCTTACACACACATATACAAACACTCATGTATGCACACCAGACACACGTGCACATCATACATGCTCACACACTATGTACACAGATTACAGATGCTCATCTCTGAATTTGCTAAGAAGCAACATGGATGATGATATCCTGTTGGCATTCCCAGCCATCAGACTGGGAGATCCCAAGCATTTTGTCTTCTTTCTGTTACAGCTTCCCACAGGGCAGGTGGCTCAGGTACCTGGAAGCTAAGAACAAAGCATCTCACCTTCCGATGAGTTTCTGACAGGAGTTCTTAGCACTGATGGTGGTCGGACCAACACCTCCATACACAATGGAGAGCTCCTTAATGACGTCACCACCCTCTCTAAAGAGGACTCGCATTCCAGAATTAACAATCGCTAGAGCGTTCTGCTGGCGCTGGGCTTGTCTGAAGGCTGACACAAACTCCCACTGAGGGAAAGAAACACAAACAGAACTCCCCTGAGAGACAACTCCACGCTGAAGGGATTTGATTTCAGCAGACTTTCTGTTATGGCCTCTGCTGTGTGTTCCCTAAGTTCAGATGCTGGAATTTTAAACCCCAGTACTTCAGTTCTTGGGGACAAGGTAAAGAGAGGCCCTAATAAATTGATCAGGACCATAATCCCATGTTACTGGTGTCTGTAAAGAGACTAATTGAACAGAGACATGAAAAGGACCACAAAACGGTAGAAGAGAGGCAACTACGGTCAAGGTGCAAGGTCTTAAAAGACGTCACCAACCCTACTGACACCTCGATAACAGAGTTCTAGCCCCAGACATCCCAGGAACTAAAGGTCCATTATTTGAGCTACTCTGTGTTCTTCTTTGGGACGGCAGTCTGCCTAAACCATCACATCTCACGTGGCAGGTTTGATTCTCCCACACTACAAATGAGGAGCCATTGACTTGGGGTGATTCATTAATTAGTTCAAGTCTTGAAACCAGAACTCAAGCCTCAGGATATCCAACCCCAAACGCATGATTTCCCTCTGGAGGTCCCCTGCAAAAGTCTTTTCAGCATTGTTCAGGCCCCAGGATCTAGGCAGAGCTGTCTCACTTAGGGAAGACTTCGGAAAGGGCGAAGGACGTCTTTGAAAAAGCAACTTTAGAGTTTGGGGCAGAGGAAGAGGGAAGAAGGTCTCCTTGTTCTAGAAGTGGCAGGGGCTACACAGCCAGGTGACAGTGACTGTGTCCAAGTCCCCCCCGCACCAGTGGCCTCTGTCACTTCCTAGAGTGAACATCATCCCCTCTGCACACACACGTCTGTGTCCTGAGCCCACACAAGCCACAGCCGGTGGGACCACTTTGACGTGGAGAGGAAGGGCCTTCCTCACCTTCCTGGAACACGGGATGCTCACTGAGACCAAGACTTCCTGAGGCCTTAGATCCGCATCGGGACTCTTGCGGAGAAACTGCTCACTTACAGGGATCTGTCGATCTCCATCTGTGGAAAAATGACACCTTCTCTGGAATCTTCAGTCTCTTGAACCAACTTCCCAAACCTGGGAAATGATGCTACAGGCTGTTGTGGGTGGTAGTGTGTGTGTGTGTGTGTGTGTGTGTGTGTGTGTGTGTGTGTGATGTCTGACAGAATCTTAAAATGTTTCCTCTAGCCTAGCCCTACAGGTAAATAGTTTTCAGACAGACTGAGCGACTTCTCAGACTCAGCAAGGTAAAGGAAATTATAGATGTTATAGAGAACAGTCATGTTCCACTCAGGACTTCCTGCCTCCCCAGAGGGAGAGAAACAATCAAGCTTAGGAACTCCCCAAGCAGAAACTGCTGTTACCTTTGGACCGTAATTTGAGGGTACAGTTCCCCACAGCCAGGAGGGGATTCAGATCAGAGTCCAGATGTCTGCTCACTATGTGGCCCCCTAGAGACTTTAAAAAGTGGTCACTGTCAGTTCTGTTACACAGTTATGAATCACAAGCACTAAAATAAAAGTCAAGCGATGCATCGGAGAGCTGTTCCTTTGGTTTGTTTTAAAGAGCAGGAAGGAGTCACCAGTTACAGTCATAGAAGTCACAATGCCAGAGTTGACTTGCTAAATACATACAGCCATGTTCCTGATCTGGGACCCGGCCAGAGTTCTGAGGTGCTTCAGGAGGGCGCGGTACGTCTGTGTCTTCTCTTCAGGGAGCTTCTGGACCACATCAGCCAGAATGTCCTTCACCTGTTCCAGGCTGAGGCCAGCACCGAGGGTCAGCCCTGAAATAAAGTCTCCTGTGAGTGATGCTGTGTGGTCAGTGATGACCTCAAAGTGTTGGACCAAAGCTACAGGTGTGGGAATCTTTATATTGGATCCACGCTGCTGTGCCTATGGGCCGTGGTGGTGATGGTGATGGTGATGCAGGTGGTGTTGGGATGGCAGTGGTGCGTGGATCGATGGTGGAGTCGGTGGTGGAGAGCGTGAAGGTTGGATTCCTTGAAGACTGAGTCTATCACACATTATACTGATAGTAATAAAAAAAAAACCTCCACGAATGTAAACACAACCACGAGATATTAATAGGTTCACTTCAGAGATGGCAAAACTAAGACTCAGCTCAGTCATGGCCCCAAGATCTTAGATGAATTATGTCATCACCAAGAATCTGATTTCAGGAACTTTATCCTGAGGACTGCTGGGTCTCACTGCCATTTAACCAAACTCCCTTCATGAGAATGAAACAGGTCAGACTGCAGAGGCTTAGCCCCCAATCTTTTCCTTCTACCTCGCTCTTGAGAGCAGCCAGCATGTCTCATTCAGCTGCATCTTCTCCTCTCATGTCCCAGATCCCCCTTAAATCGTTGTTAGTCCCTCAGTGACAGTCCGACTTCTCAGACAGGGTCAACTGGGACTTCAGAGAATTCTGCCTGGACTCCCTCCAGACACTCCCGGCTTTGTCTGAAGAGAAACTGGGAAGTCTAAACTAGAAACAGCTCTCCACTGTCCATCAATGGACTGAGAGGCAGACCAGAGGAGTGCACCAAGGAAACACAGACGGTAAGATGATGTGGGAGTGATTTCTTATTAATAAAGAAACTGCCTCGGCCCTCATAGGACAGAAAATTAGGTAGGTGGAGAAAACAGAGGAGAATTCTGGGAGAAAGAAGCTTAGGGAAGGAGTCGCCATGATTCTCCTGCTCCAGACAGACGCAGGTTAAGATCCTCCCTGGTAAGCCAGCTCGTGGGCTACACAGAATATTAGAAATGGGTTAGAACAATATGTAAGAGCTAGCCAATAAGAAGCTGGAACTAGCCGGGCCAGGCAATGTTTAATAGAATACAGTTTCCGTGTAATTATTTCGGGCATAAGCTAGCCATGCGGGCGGCTGGGTGCCAGGGACGCAGCCCTGCCGCTCCTAATTTCAACAGTAAGAACTCACCGTCACCGGCCTGGCTCACAACACACATCTCTTCAATTCTGTCAGGAGAAATTACGACGGGGTGGAAGACACCTTTAAACTTTACTTCTGGCCCTGAGGGATTGTGGAAGAGACACAGGATTAGACTAAAAGGATTTTAAATTTGAAAACTACTCTCTTAAATTTGATTTATGATTAATTCCATGTCTTTGGACATATAAAATATAAAAATTGTTTGCTTTTATTGGGCTGTTTATTGCAAACCATAAGCAGAGAGAGTGGCCGCTAAAACCCGAGGACTCTTTAGAATTTTTAGCCCCAAAACTTGTGCTGTATGGCACATTCACAGTCACTGGGAGAAGATCCTGGGGGCCCTGCAGAGAGATGGGCAGCCACACTAGGCCTATGTGGAAAAGGAGAAGACCCTGCCACTGCCTTTAAATAAAACACATTACAGTTACAGAGACACCACCCAGAGAAGAAAGACAGAGCAGTTTCAGCACGAGAGCCAGAGTGGTCCCCAGATGGAAAACCAGAGCACTGGCACCCCTGCTACTGGCCTACCATGGGGCCAGCCTGTGCTCAGTGAAGCCCAGGCTAAACCTGCTGCTGGGTTAGCATGGGGCCAGCAAGCCAGCCTCTGCACCAGCGAAACACAGGGCAGGCAGTTTTCTCATGCTGGAACATCTCTTGAACAACATTGGATTTCCTCGCTGTGGTCCTGACAACACACCCATGTGAAGCTTGTTTCCCTCACAAGATATCCCAGGGGGTTCGCATACCCACAGAGGTGTTCCCCATCACGATGGGGGCCTGGGGATACTTGAATTTAACTTCCATGAGTTCCTTCAGAGTCACTGGGGAAATCCACGTCATTCTCTCGCCACTGAACACTCTGGTCTTGGGTGGCTGTTTCTCAGCCATTGTCTGTTGAGAAGGCAACAGGGATACGAGAGCTTGTGACAAAATTCCCTCCTCTTCTCATTCGATTTTATTGAAACAGAGAAAAGAAATGCTTATCTTCTAAAAACTAAATTCTGTGACATAAAGTTGAGCCCCACCAGGGGTCAGAGTTCAAAGTTAAAGACTGGCAGTGTTTAGTCCTGGAAACTGAAGCTCCCATTGGCCCTTGGGAAACTCAGAGTAACTCATTTTGATGCTCACTGACATAAAAATGTGCTCGTTTGGTCAAATCCTTCTACAGAACATGAACTTCTGCACAGACAGGAGAAACGAGTCTACACTGAAGCCCATTGACTGTGCCTCTTGACTTTGACAGACGTCATCAGCTGTGTCCCACGTCCCAGCCCTCATGGCAGCTCCACCCCCCTCCACCTCCTGCTGGGCTCACACTCTCTGGACTCTGGGGTGAGGACGACAGGTGAGCATTGCCTATTTGCCCATCAGTTTGTTCTTTATATACTTTTACTAATTCCTTGAGAATTTCGTGTATGAACACGTGTACTTTTATTATATTTCCTCCCATTCCTCCACCTCACTCCTCCAAAGTTCACCTCCCACCCTCCCAGCCGACTGAGTACACTCTGTCATGTCCACAGACTCATGGATACGGGGTCATCCACTGGGTCATGGTCAACCTAGAAGTGGTCACAGCCTTGAAGAAAACTGACCCTCCCTCCCCAGCTGTCTTTAACTGTATCAGCTAAGGGTGGGGGCTGGCGAGCCTCTCACCTCTCCGTCCTGAATGTTGACTAAATTGAGCTTGTGTAGGCAATGAGTTCATGTGGACAGTGACCCTGTCGTTTCTAGAAGACATTAATCCCACCCTCTTTTATCAAAGGTCCCTGAGTCGTGGAGGGAGTGGGTGTAATGTAGATGTCCCATTCATGCTGAGTTGAGCACCCTGCAAATTCTCTGCCCTTTGACAAGCTGTGACGTCTGCATTAACCCCTGTCTGCTGCAGTGCGTGTTTCTGATGAGGTCAGGGAGCTGTGTGCCCTCAGCTTTTGACAAGACTCCCCCTGACATGTCACCAGGAAGGTGAGCAGCTGCCTTCCTTACCATTAGCTCTGGAGGAAATATCAGCTCCTGGGTTGGGTCCAGAGGCAGAAACTCCTCTTCTGAGAAGAGTTCTGGACTTGTCTTTAAAAATAGAAAATGACAGAAGTTACAGAAATATCCCCTATTCTCAGGGGACATCTCTCCCTGTGGGTACCCAAAAACCAGAGGCAGGTTGAACTTTAAAAGGTTCGTGAACACACTCCAGTTTTCCTATTCATTCTTAGCAACACACTCTAGTACTAAACATACCTTTTCCCTAAAAAAAAAAAAAAAAAAAAAAAAAATACCCTGTAATTACTCATTGGCATATCTGAACATACAGGCTTGGTGCTATTATCAAGTAAAGCAATGGTTATTTGAACACAAGTACTGCAATGCTGTGCCAGTCAATCTGATAACCATGGCAACCGCTTAGTTACAGGTGCGCAGGTAAGGTATGCAGCATGGATACATTGGAGGAAGGGGTGGTTCACCTTCCAAGTGAGCCAGGGCTGAACACAGTGGGAGTATCTCATGAAATTCATAACGGCATGTATTTAGAAACCTATGTTATGTCTATAAATTCCCACTTAATATTTTTAGAATACGGTTAAGTACAGGTAACTCAGATTGCAGGAAAAGAATCTGTAGACAAGAGGTGGCTACTGTATTATTGTCTGGCACCTCTACTTTAAGTTTTTAGTGCAACGAGACCGGAAGAAGACACTCAGACAGTCCAGGGATGGTGGTGCGTGCCTATAATCATAAACCAAGGAGACAGAGGCAGGAACAGCAGGAATTCAAGGCCAGGCTTAGTTCTAGGATCATCTGAGGACAGAATGGGCTCCATAGGACCTCATCCCCCACCCCCCAGAAGAAGGCAGACAGACAGGTGGACAGAGGACAAACAGGAGCGGATCTGTCATGGTCCCAGCTGCCAGCCAAGGACTCTGCTGCAGACCTGACCTCTCATAACTCCGCAGGTCTTAGAACACCTCTGCGGTCCTCAGCTCCCTACCTGTTCCCTTCGAGTCTGGGGACAGCTGAGGGGACAGGCAGGAGCAGGCAGACATTGAGGACCTAAGGGAGACCTGGAGTCTCGCCTCTCCTGTCATTGTTCTTCCTTCTCCATCTCCACTCTGCTTCTGGTCTCTCAAGATGCCCTTTAACAACCGAGAGACCTGGGGGCCAGTGCTTTTCTGTCCTGCAGACGGCAGCGTTTGAGCAGGACTGATGTGAGCAATGAGGGACCATGAGGATGCGACAGGTTTATAAACAGATTATTAATCTTCCAGTTGGTATGATAATTGCATCTATTTGTGGGGCAGAGTGACATTACATGCACGTGCATGAGAAGATCTTGTTATTGTTTAGCGTCTGGTATCTCAGACGTGAATTGGTTCTTTGTGTGGAGAATGTTAAAGGTTCCACTAGTTATTCTGAAATAACAACCCATTGTCAAACACAGACACCCCGCTATGCTACAGAACAATTAGAAGGCATCCTCTCAGCTGGTCGCACTGCGGACCTGCTCACCCTCCTTTCTCCACCCCCAATCTCCTCCTGGGCTGAATCTTTAGACTATATGGGGACTGTGGGAACAGGAGAAGGAGCATGTTGACATAGATGAATTTGTCAACCCGAGCAGTCACTGCTTCCTCCAAAGACTCGGTCAGCTGCTGCTCATGTCTCGAATGAATTTATGAGAGTGTCCCCATTCACGGACCTCATCGGCTTCCTGAAATTCCGCCAATCCATTTACTCCTCGATCCCCATTACAGCACACCCCGTTTTCTTTACTTTGACAGCAGCCAGAAGCCTAATGAGGAAAACAAAACAAAACAAGCCAATGAGAATTCCCTGGGGGTTCGATCGTTAACTGGGTGCTTACAGCTGCAGAACCAATACTGTAAGGCGTTGTAAAAGAAAACCATTTACCCTTCAACACATCGAAGGTAACGCTAATGAAAACCAAGTATACACAATTCTGAATGCCAGCGATTATTTAATAAAGTTTATAAAGGTCTTACTAGATAATCCTGTCATACAGCAATAAACATTAGCCATGTTAATTATTGATACTAACAATGTTTAAATACCGCTAATAGTAGTAACAAGAATTGACAGGTTGTTCTGATCTTATCTATGAGGTATTGATTCCATGGTTCACGGAGGAGGAGTGACCTTCTAGTGGTGGGGGAGGACCAACCATGATGGAACATGTATTAAAATTCCACAAGCGCTTATTGCTTTATATAATAGTTTAAAAACTAAGAAAAAAAGCAACAACTTTCAAAACTTTTTATTAGTTCTATTTTTATTAGTCTATTCTATGACTGAGTATCTTACTAACTGGCACGTGGTGACCCTGTCCTGGAGAAGAACTGCCTCCACTGTCAAACAGTCCAGTAAACACACGCAGATGCACAGGGACCACTGGACCACACTGTGACCAGGGCTATGCTGGACCTTACTGTGACCAGCGTCATGCTGGACCATACTGTGACCAGGGCTATCCTGGACCACACTGTGACCAGAACTACGCTGGACCATACTGTGACCAGACTATTCTGGGTCACTCATACACACATGTCACGCTTGCAGGGGGCTGCAGGCACCCAGGCAGGTCCCTAACTTAGGCAAACAGGTCAAGAGCAGCTTCTTGGCAGGAATGACTTACGGCCAACAGCCAACTGCTTGGATGCTCACAATTTGACTACCCAGGCAATGATATTAAGTCTTCTGCCCAGGACAAAATGACATACAGAATTGTAGACCTTGAGCTAAGAAGTAGTCCTGTATCAGTAAAAATGACTGTTGCTATAACACACCAGGGAACCCCTACACTGCTTTGTTTTCTTTCATGGAGAACGTATTTGGCCATGCATTCCTTTCTACTCACTTTACAGAAAGTCTTGCACGCGTCGATTATGGGCCTGTATCCAGTGCAGCGGCACAGATTTCCTGAAGGAGACAGAGCAGGTCTGGTTACTCAAGGTCCCCGGACAGAGCCATGGAATGCCAGGTGAATGACGGCATGAAGGACCCCATGTTAGAAGAAAACTCTGCCTGACGCCTTCATTTTGAAATCTTGCGTTTGAGATTTCATTTTTGCATCAGCATCCTGGGATATTTAGCCAAGAGTCCCAGAGTATATTTTAACATCTCCTTCATCTGTACTTACTCTCTGTAGACACATCTTACACCCTCTTCTTAGGACAGATGCTCAAAGGACACAGTATTTTTAAGACAAAAACTTGTTCTGTAGCTGCAATCAAGAGCTCAATTTAAAACAATAGCCACTTTGTTGAGTCGCTACGGACGCTCCTGTGTCTAATCAACTGATTAGTGATTGGTGTATCTGAGATAAGTATCCCCAGTCTGCACTGTGTGCAGACCTAACACTGTTTCCTCACGCCATTTATTTATTTAACCATTCAGCCAGAAGGAAGGCATCTAACAAAAGATCAACCCTCATCACAACTGTTTATATAGCATAGTACCAATAGCTGTGGGGACCAAGCTGCGTTTCTTGGACTTATTTATTTCGCATAATAAACTTTGCAACCTTTGATTACTCCTCATTTTCTCCTTCTCCAACCTCAGGTAATTGCTATTCAATCACCATTCTTATCCCTGCTGCTTATGTTCTACTCCAGGTTGTCCATATGATACAGTGTTTGTTCTCCTGGGCCTGGCTTGTTTCTCTTAGCATCCTGTGCTATGGTCCATGCGTGTTGTTACTAGTGAAGGATTTTCCTCTTTTTTAAAAGACAAAAGGAAGATTCCTCTCAGAATTAATACTTACCGTGGCAGCTATCAGTTTTGACAGAGGCAGAGCAAAGGGAGGGAGGAGAGAGACACAGAGAGGGAAGTTTCAGTTGATCAAAGCTGCTCTGTAACAGTAAAGAAAAGGTGGGAAAAGTGGGTGGATTCTGAACCTGGAGGCAAGTACACACACAAGTGACTGCAATAGATGGTTCGGTCGGTGTTTCTCTCACAGTGGGTCTGTGTCCTTACCCCACCCCAATATGAGGTCATATTATAGTTGTGTGTGTGTGCGTGTGTGTGTGTTCTATGTACTTATCTGTCGGTGTGTGTACCGTGTGTGTGAGTACATGCAGAGGCTGGAGATTGACACTGGGGGTCTTGCTCAATTTCTCTCCAGCTTTTTTTGAGACAGAGTCTGGAACCTGGAAGCCGCTGGCCAATGGGTTCTAGGGGTCCCTTGGTGTCTGATGCACCCCCCTCCCCCAGGACAGTGGTTATTTACCATCCGTCCCAGGCTTTTACGTGGGTGATAGTGACCAAAACTCAGAAGCTCAAGCCAGACACTGACTGAGCCCATTATCCCAGCTCCCGAGGCCTCATTTTAGAAAGAGCACAAGATCGAGTTCCCCTCTGAGAGATTTCCTCAAATCTTCATCGTTTATACATTTCCCACCCTTGTCTTAAGCTACTAAAATTTGAAAATCCTTCATCAGTGTTTATAACATAAATAGCCATAAAGCAAAATGTGACCTCCTGGAAATCAGGCAGGATCCAGGTTAGGTGCTAGGTCACTCCTTTCTGCCTGTGTTTGCTCGGAGTGCCCCCGAAATATTTTGTAGAGGAAGCAAACAAGCAAGCTTAGACTCATGTTCCCTGGACAGGAAAATAAGAAGTAAGAGACAAAGAGAAATAGAGCCAGGGAGCATTTCAGCAGACAGACATCGAATATGAGAAGCTATTAATGCTTAGAATGTGTTCAAAACCTTATCAATGAATGTACACATGTACACACATACATGCATGCACATGAGATAAAAGATGATGAGATAGATAGATAGATAGATAGATAGATAGATAGATAGATAGATAGATAGATGATAGATGGACAGACAGACTAACGGATGGATGGAGAGAGAGAGAAAGAGAAAGAGAGAGACATTAAAATAAGCATCCCTAGCAGATTTCGGCCCACCTTCCAGCTGAACTCAAAGACAGTCTCTGACCCT